TTTAATTTAAACAAAAAAAAAAATTTTTTTTCATTCGCGAAAACGGAAAAAACAAAACAAAAAATTCACTAATGGTTGTTATTCGAAAAAAATAATAAAAATAAAAACGTAACGGTTTTTAAAGAAGGCGGTGGTTTTTATTATTATTTTTAAGAAAAAGGAAATACCATAGAGGGAGTGAACATTTTTCTTATTGAATCACGTATCGATGATGACGTATGTAAACAATGTTTACGTTTATAAAAACAAAAATGGCGGACGTTTTTTTTAACCGCCATCTTTGTTTTCAAAACACGAATTAAAACACACACGTAAAAATCAAACAATTATTAATTATCAATAAGAAAAAAAAAATAAAAAAAAATAAATGGGAAAAAGGAAAAGAAAATTTTTTTTTTATTATTTTCCCTTTTTCAAAATGGCGGATTCAAACGTTTTATATAAACGAGCGTGCGCTCATTTCATTTCCCTTTCTCTCTCTCTCTCTCTCCCCTTTTTTCTTTCTTCTTTGAATTTCTTTCTCGTTAAAATATTATAAAAACGACGCGAAAATAATAATAATAATAATAAAAATCTATTAAAAATATTTTTTTTTTTAAAAATAAAATAAAATAATTGTCAAATAAAATTTATGTTATTAATTTATTGTTTTGTCACCCTACAAAAAAAAGAAAAGGAATACTATTGTTGTCAAAACGACTTCCTTTTTAACTTTTACACTTTTAACTTAATTTCCTTAACGGTTATCCGTTTTACAATATCTTATTTTCTTGTTTATATTATTATCATTATCATTATTATTATTATTAAATTTATATTGTTTTTCCCATTCCGGCGGCATTTTGAAAAACGAACGTTTAAAAACGCGTATTGGTGTGTAGTGTATACGTGTGTATTGACCGGAGGGCAAAAAAAAAACATTTTAGAAAATTCCCTAAAAAATAATAATAATAATAATGATGATGATGATGATGATGATTGCGAGGGTTGTTATTTAAATAATTTAATTGATTATTGAAATAATCGGATGTTTGTTTGTTTGATGAGTTACACGATATGTTTTTAGATTTTTAAAACGACAGAGAGAGAGAGAGAGGGGGGGGGGAAACAAACAGAAAAAAAACATCTGCTTATTATTATTATTATTTAAAAAATTATCTCGAAATTCAAATCGAATTGATGATGATGATGATGATAGTTAGTTATGATGGAAAACTATTGTTCTCTCGTTTTCATTCTTTTTTAGGAAAACGTGTGCGTGTGCGCGTGCAACGCGTTTGTTTTAATAATAATAATAATGATAATATAACGAAGCGGTTATATAATAATTGAATTATTAAAGGACAAGAGAACCGAGTTAACAAATTCATTTTATCGGCGTTAAGGGGTGTGACCAAAAGGGAGTTACCACGGAGATGTTTTTTACCCTTCGCACCGTAAATCTTTTCGCCGCAGCATCCAGACTAAAAAAAAAAATTTCATCTTACTCCATTCTATAACATCTTCACGTATTTAAATAAAAAAAAAAAATCTCGTTTGTAGAGAATCGATACGAGAACGCACACGCACGCACGCACACGTACCTAATGCGAAAAAATTAATTGATTATTATTATTTGGCAAAAAATTACGGGGGTTGTTGTCCTTGTTCAGGCACGACACACACAAACACCCTTACGATAAGAATAATAAGAATTTAATGAAGTGTATATATATAATACATAGAATTATTATTATTATTATTATTATTATTATTATTATTAGAAAATTTTTGTTGTTGTTGTTTATAAAGTCCGTTTTCGAAATTTTTTTTAAATATAAAAATATATAACTTACTCGTAAGTTAAATATAATTTTAAATATTTTATTTATTGTTGTTTTGTTGTTTCCATTGTTACTCAATTACGTAGGTACGGGGGGGCACATGAGAGGAGAATTGTTATTTAAAAATGGGTGGCACAATAAAAAAAAAAAGGGAACAGAAGTATTCTGATTGACTCCTATTGTCGCTCCTATTAACTTCTTTTTACAAAAAAAAAAAAAAAAAAAGGAAAAAGGAAAAAAGGACACACCGAAGATTTGATACCCATCATAACACCTGAATGGAACAACAACAATCGTCTATTCGTCAATGCCGAAACCTTTTTATACCTAAAAAAAAAAAAAAAAAAAAAAATTTTTTTTTTATTTTTTTCTCATCGAGGGTGAATTTTATGGTCGACTAATTTTTGTATTTGGGTTCCTTTTTACAATAATCACCCGTGGGGCGGTGGTGGGGTGGAAGGGAGGAAGGAGAAGGAAGAGGGAAGGCAAGAGGGAAGGCAAGAGGGGAGGGCAGGGGGGTTTTTTTTAAAAAAACTTTTTAAAAACTTATTGACTCGACCGTGTCAATTTCTCTCTCTCTTTCTATAATAGGATTTAATGTTTTTTCTATTGACAAATAATATTATTTTCGTTTTGTTATTATTATTATTATTATTATTATTATCGAGTTTTTTTTTTTGAATTCCGTTTAAAAACGTTTTTTTTCTCTCTCTCTTCCTCCTCTTTTTCTTTTTCTTTTTTTACTTTTTAAATAAAAGAATTTTACGAACAATTAAATTCCTTTTGTTAAATTTATAATAATAATAATAATTTAGTGTAAGTTATGTTTTTTTTTTTTTTTCAAATCTGTGGTTTTTATATATAGAGAATTTTATTATTATTATTATTATTATTATTACAAATAAATCATATTTTATGTTATGTTTATATATATAAAAGAAGTAATAAAAATTTCTTTTCTGATATTTTTTTTAATTTCGTTTTAATTATCCGATCAAGTTTTCAGGTACGTTAAGAGGGAAAAGTATTCGTGAGGACGGTGGTGGTGGTGGTGATGGAGGTGGAGATGACGGTGGTAGCAGTAGATACAATACAACCTAATTAATTAAACATCACCTGTGTCGGTTTGATAAAGAATTTTTATAAATTAATAAGTTAAATAATTTATTTAATAATAATGATAATAATAATAATTATCGATTTTATGTATTAAACGTCATCGAAAAAATAATTTGTCCTATGAGACGACAAAATCCTACGGGAATATTAGGTTGAAAAAAAAAATCTATAAATAAATTTTTCTTACCTTTGACAAATGATTTCAAAAAAACAAACAAACAAAGGTCATTTATTTAATTAAAAAAAAAAAGAAAAGAAGTATTAATGATGATGATGATGATGATGATGATAATAAAGACGACAAAGACGACGACAAAGAAAAAAATGATGATGATGATGATGATAATAACAACGTATGAGTATTGAATTAATAACAATGAATAGGAAGAAAGGGATCCTCCTGTTGAAATCGCGTATTTAGATTTTTTTAAAAAGATAATAAAACAACAGAAGAAGAAGAAGAAGAGGAGGAGGAGCTCGTTAAATGTTTGCTGTCGGTTTTGTGAAATTTCAAAAAAAAAAAAAAAACCGTTCCAATTATTTTAATTATAAGCTTAATATTTAAAAAACAAAGAATTATTCACGATTATTTTAAAAATCTTTTTTTTCTTTTTTCATCTCCGAAATTCACTCTCACAATTTACTCGTTTTTATCTTTAAAAAAAAAAAATGTCTCCCTTCTATTATTATTATTATTATTTATATTTTTCCCTTTTCTTTCCTTCCTTCCTTCCTTTTATCCATTCTCCAATTTTATTTTTCATTTCAAACTCTTTTTTTTTTTTTTTTCGATTTTAAAGGTTTTTCATCGATTTACCAAAAACAAAAAAATTTTTCTCATTCGTTAACAAATTAAAATGATAATAATAATAATGATAATGATAATAATAGAATCCAATTAAAATAAATGTTTTCTAAAAAAAAAAAAAATCTTAATGCATTATTATTATTATTTACGACTTAATTAATTGTGAAAAAAATTTTTTTTAAAAAAAAGGGGGAGAACGGAAAAAAAAATAATAATAATAATCAATAATTAATAGAGCGATAAATTAATTATGTCATTACTTATGAAAAAAAAAAAAACTCTTTCATATACCTGTTTTTTTTTTTGTTTCCAATACCTGTATTTTAATTATTCATGGGTTTTTTTTTTTTTTTTAAAGATAATATTTATAAATATATGTAAATTTTAACGTTATTCAATTTATAACACTCACAAAATAATAATAATAATATAACGAACGTAAAAAGAAAAAAAAATGTAATCGAACCGCTAATAATTTCGCACGCCCCTTTAATAGTATATACGGATACGGACACACTCGTATATACGAAATTTCAAGGTCAAAGTTGTTTACATAAACAAAAAAAAGGTAAACAAAGAGAAGGTTTCAAGGTCATTCCATTTAATTATTCCATATATGGCAAAAATATTGTCGTGTCGCGTGGGTGTGACGTCGTAACATTTCTCGGAATTTGACTTTCGTTTCTTAGAAAAATTCATAAACACATCGACATTCCCCGATTCAACCTTATCATCGTTAAAAGGAAGGAAAGTATTCATTCATTGAGTCAAATATAACGAACGATATATCGAACGATATGAATCGATCGATATATCGAATTCGAAGGTGTAGAAAAACGAATGAGAGAGAGAGAAACAGCCTAAAACTCGTTTTTTTTTAATATTTTATTTGCTTTTATTATATTTCTTTCGGTTTATCTTATCTTTAATTCGCTGATTCATAGGAATAAATATTTTTGTTGAAATAAAGATAGTTTATTTAGTTAAACACGACGACGACGACGACAACAACGACAACAACCGCAACAAACAACAACTACAAATTTATTTTTAATAAATTAAAAAATAAAAATGTTTAAAATTATATTGTTAAAATTATTATTATTAGTATTTTTAATTAATGTTGTTAACGGAATCGAAGGTTCGTATAATTCCACGTTTTTTTCTATTATCAATAATAATAATGATAATGATAATTAATAGCTAGAGTTGTTATTATTATTATTATTATTATTATAAAAATAAATTTTATGGTTTGGTTCGTGAACGTGTATGAGTTCGAAAATGTTTTTTTTTTTTTGGGTAACGAATCGAGAAAAAAAAAATTCTTTTAATTTGTGAACTGATAAGACTGATAAGGGCCGTAGGTGTGACATGCGCACGCACACACGCACACACACACGTGAATAAATAAAAAATAAAAAAAAATTTTCTGTTGTTTTTTTCTCACACACACCGAAAAAGATCATCAAGTTTTTGAAAAAAGTGCTTAAGCAGGAAGAAAAGGAGAGAAAGAGGGGAAAGAAGGGGGTAAGGGGTAAGAAGAAGGGTCGTCGACGCGTTATAATTATCCAAAAAAAAAAAAAAATAATCTGTAAAAATTAAAAATGGCGGATAAAAAAATTAAAAAAAAAAACCGCAAACGCCGGTAAAACGAAAACCACCACGTGATAAAATTTTTTTAATTTTAATAATGATAACGAAAAAAATTATTTATTTATTCTTCTGCCACTGAAACGTTGATTTATTATTATTATTATTATTATTTAATTACAGAGCCGTTAAAAGTGGGTGATGATTGTATTGTAGACACGGATTGCGAAGAAATAAAAAATTCATTTTGCGACATTTACGATGATGACAAATGTAAATGTTCAGACGGTTTCGTACCATCTATAAATAAAACATCTTGTTATAAAATAATTGATAATATAGGAGATGAATGCGAGATAACAGAACAATGTCAAAAAATTTCTTCTGCTTCTCCTGCTCCCGTTGAATGTATAAATAAAAAGTGTACCCTATCGAAAAAAGGTAAAAAAATAACCGTTCTTATCGTTTATGATTATTTTTTTTTTTTAAATTTTCTCTATTATTATTATTATTATTTACAGATGATAATTTAGAAAAAGTAGAAGAATGTTCAGAAGATGTTAAATGCGTTAAAGGTAGTTGCGTAAGAGGAATGTGCGTGGAACCAGCACCGCTACCATCAGTACCAGTTTTTAATTATTTAGGTTCGTATCGAACGGGGGGAGGGAGCGAAAAGCGAAAACAATTAAAATAAATTAATATAATTTTTTTTTTGTGTGTTCTAATGACACGACAGGTCAACCCTGCGGTAATAATTCCGATTGTAATAAAGTTTTACAATCCGATTGCGTCGATTATAAATGTCAATGTTTAAAAGGTTTCGTACCTTCACAAAATTTAAGGTTTTGCTTACCCATCGTTAATAATCTTGGAGATCCCTGCGAAGAATCCGTTCAGTGTGAAAAAATGAACGGAAGCGTTTGCGTCAACGATAAATGCGTTGAAAAAATGACAAAATTTTTACTCAACGATAACGGTGAGTTAGTTTTCCACTACTATTATTATTATTATTATTATTATTATTAATAATGTAATAATTACTTATTGATTTTTTTAAAAAGTTGGTTCCACGTCACTTTTACTCGGTTCCACGTGCGATTTAAACGACGATTGTAAACATATAAAAAATGCTATTTGTAACGAAAACATATGCGAATGTTTAGAAAATTACGTCACTTCCGTTTCTTCGAATAAATGTTTGATTAAAGGTCTCAAAGAAGGAGATTATTGCGAAGTCGATCAACAATGTTTAAACGTTAAAGACGCGACTTGCATCGATAATAAATGTTTAAAAACGTCTAACCGAACCGGAAATGGAAAAAACTCAGGTTTGATTCCTTATTTTTGTCTTTCCCCCCCCCCAAAATTTTTTATTCTTAGTACCGAATTTGCATTTTATTAATTATTATTATTATTATTTTTTTAGGTGACGATAGCGCCGCTTCAAATAATTTCCCGCCAAAAATTAAATTTCAATTATTACTCATTGTTTTTGCACTGTTGAAACAATTTTCGTAATTGTTAAAAAAAAAAAAGACTTTTCTTAAACCACGTTTCAATTTATCATCATCATTATCATCATCATCACTCTTTTCTCGATCTACCGATCGATCGATTATCGCAAATCACATAAATGACGATGATAATGATGATGATAATTTTAAAAAACTAGTGATTTTTTTTAACGGAAATTTTTTGTTAGTTTTTTTTATGACAATAAGTTAAACATAAAAAAAAAAATTATTATTATTATTATTATTATTAATACTTTATCATAAAGATTTTAAATAGAGATCTAATTAATAATAATAATTTTTTTTAAAATTATTAATAAGGGAAATTAATTATAAAAGAAAAAGGTACAAATGAAACCGCCATTTTGTATTTTTACTGTTTAATAATAATATTAATAATAATAATAATATAATTTTTATACAATTAAAAAAAAAATTGAGACGAACTCTCACTCATTCTCTCTCCCTTTCTCTCTCTCTCTTTTTTTTTTCTTCTATAAGTACATTAAATTTCCAAAAAAAAAATCGAACGATGGATGGAAATTTCCAGAAAAATAAAAATAAAAATACAATAAAATTTACACAACACAAATGGAGCAAATAAAAAAAGAAAATTGTGAGGAAAACGCGAGTAATAAGCGGAAATGAAAGACAGAAAAAATGTTTGTGTGATTACTAATAAAAATGATCGTGGTTTTAGAATAAATTAATTTTTATCGAATACTTGCAATGGGTCAAATATGGTAACTCGCAATTTTTTTTTTCTTGGGGGGCGGGAGCGGGGTGGCGAAGGGTATTGAGATCAAAAAAAAAAAGAAGAAAGGGGAGCTCCATTTGATGAATTACTAAATTAATGAGTAGTAATAGTGGTAGTAGAATTATAAGTAGTAGATTAAAAAATTACGAAAGACCGGGAGTCGGACTACTTTGCGGTGGCGGCAAAGAAGAACCAGAACCGTGAGGAGGTTGCGGCGGCGGCGGCGGCGGTGGTGGTCCCAATATCGAATTTGGATTCATCATGGCACCCATGCCGACCATACCGGGATGTCTTCCTTGTAAAAGTGCCGTGACGGCAGCCGCATGATGTGGACTAGGACTCGAAAACAAAGCAGCAGCCGGATGTTCCGGATGATGGTGAAAATACTGTTGCAAAGCGGGATGATGAGGGGGACCGTATATGTGCGGTGGTCTTGCTGCCGCAACTGCGGCCATTTTTAATTTTTCTATTTCCGCTTCTTGTAATCTTTTTGCTTTGGCTCTCCTATTTTGAAACCATATTTTAACTTGGGTTTCCGTCAAGTGTAAACTACTAGAAAATTCCGCTCTTTCCGCAATTGATAAATACTGTTTTTCCCTAAATTTTTTTTCTAAAGAAAGGAGTTGTTGCGTCGTGAACGGCGTTCGGGGTTTACGATTTGGTTTGTGCTTTCTCAAATTACATTTTAACTTTGGTGGTTCTCCGCTGTTTGAATCTACAAGAAAACAATAATAATAATAATAATTAACAAAAATGGTTGTTATCACGTGGTACAAATAATAAATTAAATTAAACCGAAAAAAGAAGAAGAAGTTTCGATAGTTTTCACAGAGAAAAAAAAAAAAACTTATTTTTTTAATTAAACCGTGTTTAAACTGATTGATCGCGTACAAACAAACAAACAAACAAACAAACTTGCCTCCTCGTTGGTAAATTGTTCAGACTTTTCCCCTCGCCCTTTTTTATTAAATAAAAGTCATTCGTCAATCGTTTAATTAGATTAATAAAACGAAATAAAAAAACCTTTTTTTTGTTGTTGTTGTTGTCATGTAAAAAGATTTTGTTCAGAACTGTTCCGAACGGTTTTTCATTATTATTATTATTATTAATAAAGCATAACAACCAACAATAGATTATTACAAAAAAAAAATCTTTTTTTTCAAACAAACGACACCATTAAATAAATAAAAAAAAAAAAAAACTCGAGTCATAGCACAATAAGTTATTTTAACTATGTTTATCTATTTCCACTGTTAAAAAAAAAAAAAAACGTGTAATTAATTACGTTTCAAGGTGACCTCAATTAACCTTTTCATTCATAAAAAAAAAAAATCTATGCGATTTGACAATACAAAAGATTTTTTTTTTTTTTGTAATGTAAAAACAATAAAAAAATAATTTCATAGCTCGATAAATAAATAAATAAATAAATTCACTTATTATTATTATTATTATTATTATTATTATTATCATTATTATTATTCGAATTATTTTCTGTCGTTTGATGAAAATGCGTGTGTTGCTGCTGTAGGTTACTACTACCACGTGTTATAACTCAAAAGGCCACGACAATAACAACAACAACATCGACCGGGAACTTTTTATTATTATCATCATCATCATCACGATTTCAATTTGCGTTTTCTTATTGACGGACAACTAGACATAATCATTAATTTAATAACCTTTTGACCTTTATTTATTCCCTTTTTTTTTACAAAAAAAAAAATTTCAAGAGAGTTTCCGGAACGTAACAAAGTTTATCGAAAGTTCAAATGAATTGACGGTTTCCGTTTAACATTAAATTAACTTTATTTAAAATTTTAATTATTATTATTATTATTATTATTATTATTATTATTTAACCGAAATTAATTATTTAGAGAAAGAAAAAACGATCACGTGAGTACGTGGAATTAGATGAAAAAAAATTTGCAAAAATTCAACATCACAATATTAAAAACGACGATTTCACGCACATAAAATCACAAAACAATTAAAATTTTATTTACTCTATGACACACGTATTATTACGTCATTTATTTCATCTGCAGACACGTCAATCAAATTAAAAAAAAAAAAAATTTTCATATGTAAACATAATAATAATAATAATATTAAAATCTCTCTGATGAGATGGAATTTCAAACTTTTTCCCCCCCCGATGCCAAAAAAAAAAGTAATGATGATGATAATAATAATAAAAGTCTTTATCGATTTGGCAACGGAAACAATTTAATATTAATGGATGGAAATAAGAAAGAGAGAGAGAGAGAGAGAGAAAGAATAAAGATAGATCATTAATTTAAAAAAAAAAAAAAAAAAAAAAACTTGTCTGTTAGTTTAGGTGGGCTTTTGAAATGATTAATTTAATATCATCCTCTCACTCACTCCCCCCCTCTCTCTCTCTCTCTCTCTCTCTCTCTCTCTCTTTCTCTCACAAAACAACTAATAGACTCTATTACACTTTATATTATTACCGTGAATTATTTCGGGCAAAGTTTCATTTTCTAACTTCACGTCAAAATACCGACACACACACACACACGTGAAAAGTGAGTTTTCTAATGCCACGTCCTTTTTTTTTATATGCCTATTTTCTAATTAGTTTTTATTTACAACACGTTTGTGCCAATTAATTATTTTGTCTCGGTTACGTTTTTTTTTTTTTAAATGTTTGTCTGTCGTTTGTCGTTTGTTGTTTGTCGTTGTTTTTAAAAAATTTAAATTCGAAATAAAATGATGATGATGATGATAAATTTTCTTCTTTTAATTTTTTAATTGTTTATTTTTTTTAATAAAAAAAAAAAAAAAATTAATCGGAAGTCGTTCGATATTTTTTTTTTATCTCTCTCTTTTTCTTTCTTTCTTCCGACACTTTATTATTATCTTCTACCACTTTTTCTTTTTTAAATTGTTTTCTTGTTTAAAATATTTTAAATAATATATATTTATTTATTTCATTAACGAAACGAAGGGAGGAGGGGAGGAGGAAGGGGGAAAAACAGAAGCGGTTTCTATTCCGATTAAATAAATTACGGTTTATGTATATATTTTTTTTTATTACTCTCTCTCTCTCCCCTTCCCTCTTCCTCACTTCCTTTCTCTCTCTTTTTTTTTATAAATAAATAACTTATAGAAAGAACACCTGTATATTTTAATTAATTAACCTTATTCGTATGTTTTTTTTTTTTTTTTTTTTTCGAAACGTTTTGACTCCATTCAACTTTTTTTTCCGTTAAATTTATTCGATTCCAGTTTTTCTCTCTCTCTCTCTCTCTCTCTCTTCCTAAACATAAAATTCCAACAAACTCTTTGAATCATTATCATCATTATTACTAGTCTATAAATACTCCTTTTTTTTAAATCGTTATCATTATCATTATTAAATTAGAAAAATTTTTTTTTTCCTCCTAAACGCGCGGAGGAGGGAGTGAGAACGTTAAAAAAATTTGCAGGACGACAACCAAAAAAATTTTCTCTCTCTACTTCCTCATATTTTGATTTATTTATTTTTTTTTCACCGATGCGAAAATATTATTAATAATAATAATAATAATAAAATTAACAATAAATTATGTCGATCGCAGCATAAAAAAAAAAAATTTTTTTATTTTCAAATAATAATAATAATAATAATTAATAAAACCATAAAAATTTATTGAGTTATAAAATTTATTTAACAACTCCAACAAATCCAACATATTAATAATAATGATAATAATAATAATAATAAATGATTATTATTATCATCATCACAATCGTGCGTATAAAATGCGATCGAATGCGTAAAAAAAAAATAATTTTCGGTTTTTTTTTTTTTTGATGGTAACGCGAAAATTTATTTTTTTATTATTATTTATTATCATTATCATTATTAATAAATAATAATAATAATATTAGTACGCGAGTGAAGGAGAAAAAAAAGATTCGTTGCCGCCGACCATCGATTATTTATTAAAGATATTAAAAAACGTAAGGAAGAAAAAAAACCGGTAAAAATCAATAAATAATCTCGCGTTCGGTTCGTTATTATTATTATTATTATTATTATTATTATTAATATCATCGTAGTCGTAATGGTAATCGTAATCGAAAAATTAATAATAAATAAATAAATAAATAAATTTGTATTATTATTATTAAATGTTTTTTTTTTTTTTGTAAACGACGATATATATAACGTTATTAAAAATTATTATTAATAGTTCATTGTAAATGAGAGAGAGAGAGAGAGTGCGTGTGTGTGACGTCATTAAACTCATGTTGCCAACATTGATTTTTTTTTTTTTTAATATAATTAAATATTCGTCGTAACGTTGCCATTATTTTTTATTCGGGTTGTTGTTGTTGTCGTTGCGAGAAAGAGGCAACAAAACGAACAAAGGTTTTTTGCAACGTTTAAATTCAATTTATTTATTTATTTATTTTTTTTTTAACGGAGCCGCCATTTTTTTTTTTAATGAAATCAACCGTGGCACTATATATATATTATTACCGCTACCTGTTTACACGACGACGACGACCACGACGTCTTTTTTTTATTTTAATTTCCCACTTCGACATTTTGACCTTTTAACTAATTGCAATGTTTTTCGCATAACCTTTCCAATTTTCATCTTTTCCTCTCTCTCTCTCTCTCTCTCTCTCTTTGTCACACATTCGTTTTTTTTTTTTTTTTTTGATAAATATTAAAAAAATTATAATTTCCCGGTCGGTCGGTTTATATGTGATTCCGAAAATTAATTTTTTTTTTTTAATTCGATTCGTTTCGAACAAAAAATCGAGTTTTCGAAATTAATAATAATAATAATAATATTTTATTTCTTCTTTATTCCGAATCCCGAAACGAGAAGTTAATTATTACCGTAATAATTCATTCGAGTATCGCGAGAGAGAGAGAGAGAGAGAGAGAGAAAAAATTGAATTATGTGACGTCATAGACGTTCGTGAAAATTTTTTTAAAATAATAATAATAATAATAATTTTATCATAACCCTTGGATTTTTTTTTTTTCCAGTTCGGTAAAACGTTTTTGTCGTCGTCGTCGTCATTTTACAAAATTGTCGCAAAAAAAAAACCGTTCAAGGATGTAAAAAAAACAACGCACGCACTCACGCACACGCATATAAATAAATTTTTTTTTTCTAAGGCGTAAAATTAATTACCTAATTAATAAATTATACGAATTAAAAGATTGTAACGAATGACAAAAAAAAAAAAAAAAAGTTAAAATGGAGGAAAAATCGATTAATTTTGTCGTTAGAAAATTAATAAAAAAAAAAAAAATCCAGTCGTTGTTGTTGTTGTCGTTATTGCGACACGCATTTTTTTTTTTGGAATCTTTAAACTCGTATCGATTATTATTATTATTATTATTATTGGAATTTTTTTTGTATAGAAAACATTTCGGAATTGATTTTAATAGTCGTAAATCTTATAAAAAGAAGGAAATTATTATACCAATTGTATATCGATATAAATTATTCTAATTGAATCTAACGTAAAAAAAAAAAAAATGGCGGTTTGATTTATTTATAAAATTCGATTTGTCGTAAATTTTTTTTTAAAAACTTAAAGGCCAACGAACGAACTAAATATATATATTATTATTATTATTAAGATTTTTTTTGTAATTTGATAAACTCAACGTCAAAATATCTGTCAAACCTTGTTAAGGGTTAAAGGTTATGAAAAAAAAAAAAAAAAAAAAATTTTTTTTTGAAAAACGTTTCTGTCATTTTTAATAAACTCTCTCTCTCTCTCTCTTTCTCTCTCTCACTCACTCGATTGCCGACGACGACGACGACATGTTTGTTTGTTTGTTTGTTTGTTTGTTTAACAAGAAGTCACACATCTAATAATCGATTTTTTTTTTGTTTGGGTTAAAAATTTTTTTTTTTCGTTTGTTTGTTGTTGTTAACGAGAGGTCGGATGAGATGATGATGATGATGATGATGGCAGTGATGGTGATGGGGACGGTAGTAGTTAAAAGTTTTTTTTTTTTTTTTTTTATTGTAAATAATTTTCTTACCGGAGGATCCGGTTAAACCCCCACCGAAAGCTCCCGGTGGAAGTCCAGCTCCAGGAAACAAGGCTCCGGGATAATGACTAAGGGCCGCCCAAGGACCAGGCGCAGAATGCTGTTGTAGACCTGCGCTGTATGCGGCTGCTGCCGCTGCTAAAGCACTGAAAGGTGTCGGACGCACGGGCGGGACCGGTGTCGGTTCTCCTAGCATAAACCTATTTAAAAAAAAAAAAATTTTTTTTTTTTTTTATTTATCGATTGAATTTTCCAGCGAGTGAGAAAGAGAGAGAGAGAGATAGATAGATTATATACCTTGCTGAACCCACGTCTAATTTTCTACTTTCTATTAAATTATTTGCAATGTCCGATGATGGTGTCGGACTTCTACTTTCGCCATCTCTTTCCACGTCTACGATGCTACCCGCTGATGATTCCACGTCATCATCCACGTTATCATCTACGTTACAGTCTTCATCTTCTGATGAATTCGATGCCACCGATGATGAATTTAACGTTGCCGAATTTCTTTCACCTGATTGCGTCGTCACCGGTGACGTATTCCTTTTACCAAACTGAAAACAAAAAAATCCCATTTTTCCTTTAAAATTCTTTTTAAAAAAAAAAAAAAACATCTCCCGAATCGGGATTCGAACCTTTTCGGTCCCCCACCTCCATCGATTTTTTTTTTTGTTCAAAAATTAATTAAAATTCAATTATACGAGCACACATATTAATATATCATATTACTACAAAAAAATTTTTTTTTCCCCCCCGATACGCACCCATAAATGATTTATATGTTATAAAGCGTGAAATTTATTCTCTTCCTCCTCCACCTACTCTCTCCTTACTTTCCCTCACCTCCTCCCCCGAAAAAAAGGCACAAACGACGAAATATTAACATATTAAATCGACAAGGAAAAAATGTTGTTTTTAAAATAATCAATGATAATTTAACAATTAATTAATAACGGGAGGAGGGGCGGGAAAGGATCCCCGAATAATAATAATAATAATGAAAATGAATGAATTGAAAAAACCTGAAAGTGATTTGTGTGTGTCAGAATAGTCGTCTTCAAGGTTCAACGACGTTTGTTGTTGTTGTTTGTTTTAAATGTCTACTCAACTCTATCATTTTTTTAAAAGTACTGATTTTATAATTCCTTTCACCGCTCCTGTAATTTTCATCGATTTATGTCACGCGGTTATTTTCGTGATGGTGGTGGTGGTGGTGTCCCCTCATCATCTGTCGTGAAAATCACCGAGAGTTTATTTGTTTGTTGTTGTCATTTTAATTTTTCGAATCGAGTTTTTTTTTAGAAAACCTGTATTTAAAGTTAACCGATAACGTTATTGATTGTTATTAATTTTTTATAAAAAATTTGTTGTTTTTCATCCGTTTGTTTGTTTGTTTGTTTGTCGGTAAGGAATTTCGTAACGTCAGAATTAAAAAAAAAAAAAAAAAAAAAAATTTTAACGATTTGTAATAAATTTACGAAAATAACGATTTTTATTTAATTCGTTTTTTTTTTCATTTAAAAAACCGGAAGTTGTTGTGGTTGTTGTTGTTGTTGTTGTCGTTGTCGTCGTTCCTGTCGGTAACGGGGGCGACGGTGGGGACGACGATGAAAAAAAAAAAAAAAAATTTCACGGATCGCAACCGCAAATAATTTTTAATTAAAAATCTAAAATTAAATAAATAAAACGTTGTCCCGATTATACAAAAATTGTTAAAACGTAATAAAAAAAAAAAATCATTCGCGCAAATATTTACGACAGCAAAAAAAATTTTAAAAAAATTTAAACAAAAAAAAGCAAGCAAATTTTTTTCTTTTTTTTTTTTTTTGCTGCATTCATCCGGTTTATAATTAAAAATAAAAACAAGCAAAAAAAAAATTAAAAAAAAAAAAAGTAATAAAAAAAATTTGCTTTGGTTAATTGATTTCTTTAATTAATTATTTAATTTGCTATTAATTTTTATTTATTATTATTATTATTTTTATTAATTTTTTTGGCAAGATTAATGGCGTTGAAAAAAAAATTCATTAAA